TGGATCTGACACCCGGGCATGGCCGGGGAAGGGGCTGCCTCGCCAAGGCTGCTGTGCCAGGGCAGGGGAGAAATCCCAGCGTGGTCCTCCCTCTCCTGGCTGTGGCAATGGGTCACTCTTACAAGGTGAAACCAATTATAAAGCAAATTGGTAATGAGGAGACAGATAATGCGTCCTAAGAGAGAGAAGAAGTTGTAGGGAGATCTCTCCCGAGCTTGCTGCATCCTCTCCAAGAAGCACTTGCATCAGCTGGAAGAGCTCAGCTCTGGTCCAGCCGCTACTTCAGCTACAACACAAGGGAAACATTACGGTATTTTTCACTCAAGCCTTTAACCCTATTACCAAAGAAAAAGAAAAAGCAAAGCCGTGGCTGCCTGTCTGACCAGACACCGGCGTTAACAGCTCATCCTGGAGAAACACCCAATTACCAGCTCCGGCGCAGCGCGGCGGACGTGCCAACCGGGGACGAAAGGCCGTCCATCCCCCTGCCCCAGGGTCACCCGGCTGAGAACAGCTCATTTACAGGAGGCTGCGACAACACCCAGCCCGTGTCTGCCCTGCGAGGGCTGAATCGCTCTTCCAGGGACAGGGTCAGCAGCCGGGGAGCTCAGGACCCCACACTCGGGGACAGGATGGGTGTTGCCGCAGCGCTGAGCTGAGCTGGTCCTCACCGCACGCCCTAAAGCATCCAAACCGACACGGATGCTCTCGGAAATAAAACAAACCCAAACCTCAAAACAATCAAATAATTGAAGTGTCACCGCCTAAGTGCATTATTACTAGTGCATAATTAATTACTACACAACTAATTGCTCCCACAGAATGATTAATTCAGATTTCAAACACGGATGCTGCGGTGGAGCAGCGCAACGCCGGGGAAGTTTGGCTAAAAGTGCTTCCTGCTGGTAAAGCAAAAGCAGAAATAGGTGTAAAGAGAGAAGTGTGCGTGGGAAAAGGAGGGTTGGAGGGGACCTGGCAGGAATGAAAGGATAGAAAGTGTGGTAAAGCGAGGGAAGAGCCCAGCACTGGCGGATTCTGGGGAGCGAGACTGGAGAGAAGAGGAAAGGAGCTGGCTGGAGCTTGGTTTTATATGGAAAATCAATGAAGAGTGTAAGGA